CAATAGGAATGAAAGAGAACACTGCAAAACAAGATGCTTCTGTGTAAATCCTTAATTCATGGAAGGAAAAAAACCTAAGTTCAGATAAATACTTCCACTCATAATACAGAGTAAAACAAACAGAATGATTGTTTTCTAATATATTTTATAGGCATGGCTCTATTTTCACTGCCACAGCACAAAGTTCTAACACAGTTCTCTTAGAGTCAGTGAAGAAAGATTACCAGCACACCTCTGAATTTCTTTAAAACTGGCTTGTTTCAATGACAACAGCAGACCCATAACCTTGAAATGATGCTGGCCCTCATGTACTAGGACATGAGGGTTCCTCATGTACTAGGATAAGTTACATATAATTCTCAAACACCTTAGCAGAAGTAACAACAGCTTTTGAGTATGGTCAGGTGCGAAGACACCTAATCATATCTAGGATATTTCTTTCCATACTAAATGTCAGTGATTCAAATTAGAAAGCTTCCAAAATCAGCTGTGCTTTATTTGCAAAGCTAGACCAAGTTACTCAAAAGCCTAAGAAGGTTTAAAATAAATTATAAGTTAGTCTAGAAAATATTGTCCAGTCATGTGTCTATTTTAGTACTATTTATCTTATACACATAAGTTAGGTTATTAAAATTGAGCTTTCAAAAACGAGATGTTTGTGTTGCTTGAGCTTGGCTAGAACAATGGCAGGTACAGTCTAGGAACTTAAGAGAGGAACTATTAGGCTGCTCTTGTTTCATCAGCAGGATAATTAAGGACACTGAGTCACTCATTAATAAGAAATGGAAATTATTTGGTGCAAGTGAGTCACCAAAAAGACAAAAATGTCTTGACATACAGTGAGATAAAGACGACACTCAACACACAATACTAGCAGTAATAGAAGCCCCCACTATCACAACAGAGACATGCTGCCAAGATTGACCACATATATTTTCCTTTTCATCTGATTGCTTCCTTGTTCATCACATACTGATCATGAGAATAATCCATGCATCTGGATTTATCCACACCATTCTGGTGTTTAAATTTATGCCATTGCATTTTGGAAGATCACCATAGCAAAATAGCTTCCTAGCAACAAGTGGTATATGTGAATGGAGACTAATTATTTTTCTCATGCAGTAACGATGCATACAAGTGAAATGCATAGGCTGCATGGTGCAGCCAATGCTCTTCAAATCATTAATTTGAAAGAGAATGGATTTTGACTCAATAAGAGGAACATTTGGGCACAGTCCTACCGATTCACTGACAGAACATATGGGCAGCAAATGAAAGGAACATTTTTACTGTTATTTGGCTTGTGTCTGTGATTTGCATATGCAGTATAGAAACACAGAACTTGTTTGATGAATGAAATTTAAAAACTTTGCTGCAAGCCTCCCTTTAAAATGTTATGTTGTCATAATATTGATTGATTATAGTTGAAGTCAAGGCCTCAGAAATTACTTCCTATAATCAGCATAACGTGTTTGGAAAGCATTGCAGAGAGAGAAAATTGACAATTTAGAATGCTGTTTTGCCTGTTTAACCACAACCACTACAGAAATAATTGTCAAGAATGCTGAAGTTCAATGACTCACGGCAGTCATTTGGGATTTTTTTTCCCCACGAAAGTTTCAAATTATCTGTTAAGAAGATAGAGATCAAATCAAGTCATGACAATTTTTACTGGGTGTCTGAAGCCACTAAAGTACTACACGTTCAGACACATGAACTTGCACAAATCAAGAAAACTGTAAAACAAATAATGTGGCATATGCAGCTCATTACACTTGCAATTTAAAAAAACCACATTTCTTAATCTTGGAACCTTTTCCAAAACTGAAATTTAAAACTCTAAAGCTTACGCATACCTAATGAAAAGTCTGTTGAGCTCAATGAGATTTACAGATTGATTAGTATGCATAGGATTATACTGTAAGTGCAATATTACTATAACAGTCCATCCATACTTAACTATATAGCTAACCAACCCTCCTATGAAGAGACCCTAAGAGCTTCTTTCCATATTTCTATACAGCAACATAGGATGGTATGTCTTCAATTACACTATGCCAGAAAGGAGAAACCTTAAAAATATAGAAAACTGTTAATGTGTCCTCTCTAGACTTAATCAAATGGAAGGGCTGCTACAAAATAAATATAATACAAATCGTAAAAAGCTGATGACGCAATATGTTCAAGATAGGCAACTAGATTTGCTCAATGATTTTGTCAATAAACGGCCTTGCACCAAAAATACTTCTGAAAATTAGCTCCTTCTTAGTAATTTTTCTCACTTTGACCTCCTGAATTCTTATTCAAAAGATAATTATTTAGCTCTATTAAACAGAATGTACAGTGTGTAGAATCATCTAAAAATTGCAGCTTCAGACAATAGTTTAATAGCGACTGAAATTCTTTTGTACAGCTTCATATAGTCAGTGGCAAATCACCACTGATTAAAGGCACATTGCTGCTGATTAAAGATGATATTGGGATGCATGCAACTAGTACACAGTACAAAGTTCTGTGTACTGTACACTGAAAATGCTAAAGGAAGATTTTGATCAATCGTGATTTCCTGTGGCTAATGATACTATCATTGTTTTGCATGTGGAGCTGCACAACAGGATTTCAGGCAATAAATCATATTCTGGCTAATACACAATATGGTTTTCCAGCTGCGGTAGAACAGAATGGTGACTACTTTGCCTGCAAACTGATTTGAAGAATGCACTGTGAAATATTTCAGTCCCCAACAAAATATATCTTCCCCAACTCTTAGTACCATATGATAACTGTGTAGAAAAAACTGTTAGAGAAATAAAGGTAAAAAAATCCTTACTTCTAGACAGTACCAGTCCTAAGTCTAACATTCATGTGCTTTCTACAAGCTGTTGGTTGGATGGGGGTTAACAGTCACCAAGGAAGGCGTGTTATAGTGACCTCTGTAACATACTGATTACTAGGCCACAGGCCAGGCTTTATTATCCTAAACAGAGAGATCAGAATATGTTGTTACTACACTAAAGTTTTTTCCATTACATGAATGCATCTCTAAAATGTTTCTAATTCTAATGTACGTTTAAATGTTTACATGGTCACGGAATTCCAAACCGAATACTCAAACATGACAAGGATATATATGGAAGAGAAAATCCTTTATACAATGCAATCAAGTATGTGATGTTTTATATATTACATAATGGCAAATATCCCATTGTGCAACTTTGCCTACATAAGGGGAATGACATCATGGGTACCAAATTGCTGCTGCTGCAAGACTTTATTTTTGCAATTTCAGGGTGTGCACACCACATACACAATGCAGTGAAGTCACATGCACCGTGAAATTCCAGAAGGAAGCCTTTAACTGGTGGCTAACTGATGCAACCAATGACATCTTCCCTGTTGCACTGGAACCCCAACTAATAGGATTCTGGTCAAAGACACATATATAATATCTTTTTTTTTTTTTGGCTTTCTATTATATAAATCTATTCATACTGATTTAACATTGTGCCACCAGGGTACAGCTTATAATCATTGTAAAACAACTACTACACACATTACGCTCCTAATCTATACAACATCCTTCTAACCATTGATAGAATAAGTTCCATGTTTGATAATATTTTGTATCTTCTTTTCCTTTGATTTTCAGTGTTAGTCTGTCCATTTCAGCGCAGTCCAATATCTTTTTAATTATTTCTTGATCCGTAGGTGTTCCTTCATTTTTCCAGTACTGTGCATAAATAATCCTCGCAGCTGTTAGAATATGCAGTATTAAATGTACATTTTGTCTATCAACACTTTCCGGTATTATACCTATACGAGGGGATGCTGGTAAGTATTGAGCCTTTCCCAGAAAAAAATGAGCTAGGAAGTTATAAATTTCAGGGTGTATTGACCAATTTGTATGTATTCAATGGTGAAAAAAAAATCAACTACCTATGATTTTAACGTATCTTTCATGTTCAGGTCCAAAGTGATCATGGTAGCACCTCCAGAAAAGTTCAATGTGGAAGAGCACAGGGCCATAATCAAGTTCCCGTTTCTCCAAGGGAAAGATGCAAAGCAGATCCATGATGAAATGTCACAAACTATGGGTGACAGTGCCCCTTCATGTTCAACAGTTAAATGTTGGGTTGTCAATTTTTAAACTGGCCATTTCGGTGTTGAAAGTGAGAAACCCAGTGGAAGGCCTGTTTCTGTCTCTGTGACTATAAATGTGAAAGCCATCCATGACATGATCATGGAGGACCGCCGAATATCAGCCAAAAGTACTGCTATATATCTGAGAATATCACGCGAGAGAGTTGGTGCCATTCTCAACGATGACTTGGAAATGAGAAATCTGGCAGCAAAGTGGATCCCCAAACTTTGGACAAACAAACAAAAGAGGAAACGTGTGGTTGTTTTGCAAAGTTTTGCAAGAAATGAGTCAGAATTCCTGGGCAAACTGGTAACTGGTGATGAGACATGGATCTACTGTTATGATCCTGAGACAAAGAAACGGGTTAAGGAATGGAGGCACAGTGGTTCCCCCTGGCCAAAGAAGTTCTGAGTGCAAAGGTTGGGGCAGAAGGAAATGGCAACAGTTTTTGAGATAAGAAGGGAGTTCTGCTGGTGGACTACCTCCAACAGGGCTCAACCATCAATGCAAAATATTACTGTGCTTTATTGACAAAGTTGAGGTACAACATCAAGGAAAAATGTCGAGGAAAGCTCTCCAAAACTGTCATCCTGTTTCATGACAACGCCTCATCACACACTGCAGGTGAAACTATGGCAAAATTGATGTCCTTAGGCTTTCAAGTGATGACCATCCACCCTATTCTCCCGACCTGGCTCCTTCTAACTATTATCTGTTTCCCAAACTCAAAAAACACCTAAAGGGACAACAACAATGCTGCAAATGAATGGTTACACCAGCAGATGGAAGAATTTTATTTTCAGGGACTTAAGAAGCTGCAGGACAGATGTCGCAAGTGAATTGACTTCCTGGGGGGATATGTAGGATAGTGTGGCAGTTACAGCTTCCTGGCTCAATTTTTTCTGGGAAAGGCTCAATACTTATCAGCACACTCTCGTTTATTTCTCTATGTGTTTGCATGGGTGACATTATAGAGCAGACAATATTTGCTTTTCCTCTTCACTACACAAAACCACTCCCCAAATAGTCTCTTAAATATCGACTAAAGACTTCATAGATTTATGATGTTGTGTGGTATATACCTGTTTGGCCAGTGATTTAAAGACTTTGCTGTGTATTTAACTGTCAATATAACTAATTGCAGTTAACTCTAGAATACTGTATTGAAAACTCTCATCTTTGTGAAATATAGTGTTAGATGGGGAGAGGGGCAGAATCAAATATCCTCTAGGCTACAAAACAAGAATGAACCATTCAATATGAAGATGGAAAACTTGGGACTTGTCATAAGCCCTGAAATTACCATTTCTTGGCACGGTGTTTTAGTTTACAGTACTCAAATACAATAAATCACTATTAGGTTAATACCATACCTTGTCATTCAAACATTTCATCTTGCTTAACAGTAAATAAAATTTACCAGTTTAACTCTTACACAAGTGACAGACATTTGCAGGAGCTGCAGGAAAAACACTGCTAATTTTCTCACTATTTTCTTTTGATGAAATATTATCATTACTTGATCCATTATCAAAAGATACAAGTATTTCAAATAATTTGTTTCATTTTTTAAACAAAGAGTGTATTTTCATACAGTCCCCACCCTAAAATTATAATTGTAACAGTTGCATGAAAACCCCAATACTTGAGGATCTGTGAAACGGAATACACTGGAAATCTGTCAAGGGCCAAAAGAAGATTATCTGAGATATAACAAACAAAGTATGGAATGTAAACCTAAATTACTCCATAGTGATTCATCCAGCTGCACAAATAATGCATATAAAAACAAATGAAAATATCATTTATTTATCTTCAGGACTAACAAACCCTTCCCCTCAGCTTCAAACACACACACACACACACACACACACAAACACAAACCCCTCTTCCTCCTTGCTAGGCACAACTAGCTACATGTATCCCATGTTGCTTTTCGTTTCCCATCTTTTCTTGGCTTCAAATCTGAAAAGAAACACAAACATATGTCAGTATCTGCTGAAGTACACTTTGGGGAGTTTTCCAATCAAATTGCATTTAGCAGCAGTAGCTAAACTGCAACAAGGTTTTTAATACTCTACCAATCACAAAAGAGAAAGTATAAACATTTGAATAATGTATCAGTTGTAGTAAAGACTCTACATTAAACAGATGTACTACTCAAGGAAAAAGCCAAGGTCAGTGTAAACAAACAAGGATTAGTGCAAGTCAAATTGAAGGAAGAAAACATTTAGCTCAGAATCTCTATTAGTCTTAAATACAGAAGACCAATGACGCACCCCCAAGCAAGCTTCTTTTTCTTTTGGGCCTGTTGTGAAGCCTCTGCATCTTGCTTTGCTTTCACAAAATTTCGGCAAGCTACAGCTTTGGCAATTTTCACTCCAAGCTGAGAAGTAAACAAACACAAATGAATCCAAAGGAGGTATTTGAAAAGATAGCTAAGGCAGAAGTAACTTTACTTAAGATTTTTTTGAAAAGGTTACATGACTAACACTCGTCCCACATCCATCAGTAAGCAAGCGGAAATATGGTGAAGTCTGCCCCAATTTTTATGGAAGATATTTTCAATATTTTTCCAAGCAGAATAGGGTCACAATACATAAAACAAAACAAAACAAAACATCATTCAGATATTTTGCTCAAGTGTCTACTACTGAAGTTATACTTAAAAAGCAGTATTTGTTTTGGGTACAGTCTGAAAATGAAGTAGAGATAAACTTGTGACAGCAACAACATACTCTATCTACTAAAGCTAAGGCTGCCCTTGAGTTCCTTCAAGAACAGTTCATCCAGAATTAGGCAGCATGACTGCTTTCAGATCTTCTTCAGTTAGTTAATCAAAAGGCTACACAGTACTTATAAAAGTCCACACACAAAATACTTGAAGAGACAAAATACTTTTTGTCCCCCCTCCCCCGCGTTTAGACCAGAAGTAGGGAACATGTGGCTAATAGACCGTATGCAATCTCCTGATCCCCAAATGATCATTTCCTGTTTCTGAAAAAAGGGCCAGAACTTTTTCTAAATTAGCCAATAAATGGACAAACAGCAATTGGCCATTTGGTTCCTCCTCTTCATTATTACAGTGGTGCCCCGCATAGTGAGGTTAATCCGTTCCGGATTAACCGTCGCTATGGGGAAACATCGCTATCCGGAACGGAAAACACCATAGAAACACATTAAACTTAGTTTAATGCGTTCCTATGGCTCTTAAACTCACCGTTCTGCAAAGATTCTCCATAGCGCCGCCATTTTCGCGCCCTTGGTAGGCGAGGGCAGGGCGCGAAAATGGTGCGGGCGGCCATTTTCTGCACCCAGCGGCCACTTTGGAACTGCCGATCAGCTGTTCCCAAAATGGCCGCCGGGTGCAGAAATGATCGCAATGCGATGTTTAGCCTATCTAAACATCGCAATGCGATCGCATTAGTGACCCAAAAAAACGGGTCGCTATGCGGATTCTTCATTAAACGGTGCGCTCGTTAAGCAAGGCACCACTGTACAGTATTTTTATTGGTAGAGAGCACCTATCTAAATCTAAGGTAAGGCAGAAATGGCCCCTGGAACCAGCTGAGTTGCCCATTTCTGATTTCAACCAGGGATGAGAAATGTGTGACATACAGATGTTCTTCGACTTGAATCCCCATCATCCATCAACAATGGTTATATTTTCTAGGGCTGATGCTCTTGTAGTCCAATAACATCTGAAGGATTACAACATTCCCTACCCCTAACTTAAACATTTATTTAAACATTTACGCTCTTCCACCATTACCAGCCACGTTGCTATTACAACCAGCTTATATTTTCAAGTTAGTCATAATGAAAACAAAAACACAAAATAATAGCCGCCTAGAGTGGTCGAATAAGACAGACAAAATAATAATTAAAATTGAAAGTCAAATAGTAATAGAGGATAAAAAAAAAATTTAACCCAGAAAAAAGATCCAATTACTAATCAATTTTCTCTTCGTTTTCTGATTTTCTTAGTCAAACATGAGGACTTCAAGATATTACATAACTATGTACTTTCTTCATCTAGCAGTAAACCACAAAAAATTAAATTCCCACCAAGGGGTTACAGGGATATGAGTGAAATAGCCTGAAATAGCTAGCTGGAATCCAAATTAAAGGTATAAGGAATTGAAAAGCTTTGATACTAACCAGTACCATCATGCAAGAACATAAACACAGATGTACTACACCAGACAAAAGTCCAAGCTAGATCCTCATTCTATTTCTCAAAGTGGCCAACCAGGTTATTCAGGAAATGATACAAACAGATTGTGAAGGCAGCAACTCTATTCCACTGTTGCCCTGAGTAAGTGGCATATAGTGGCATACTGCTGTTCCATTATCGTAATTGACATGGGCAGTCACTGTTAAACTTGTTCCCTAACAAAAAGCTACAGTGGAAACATAATATTATGGCCCCCTTTGAGCTCCAAAGACCACCTGTGTACATACCTAAGTTACTCATATCTCAAACAGTTATGGGGACTTTTGATTTTATTGTTTTTTTTTTAACCAAGGCCTCAAATGCAATTCCAGATTAAGGACACAATCCATCCAGAAATACTACTCTTAAATATACTTCAGTATATAGACAGAACTGACACAAGACTGCTTTTGCCATGTGTTTCAACAAACCTAAAAGTAACTTTAAAAAAAAGTGTTCTTCACTACTGAAAACAGAAATTGTGTCTTCAATAATACAAATACTAAGAAGAGTATAAAAGGTGACATGGGTATATGGCTTACAAACCACACAAGATGACAGTCAGCACCCACTATGCTGAGTATGTCACCTTTTCCTTGAAACCTTCTCAACCACCTGTCATATTCATCTACTCATTGACTTACTCATTAGATAAATCAATATATATTTATATTAAATACTGCAGGTGGGTACTGTCTGGCTCCCTTTACACCAACATGCTCCCATTGAGAAGTTTTTGATCTTTGTTTAATACTTATAAACCTCACTTTGGTTTGAAGGATAATGAATTAGTGATGCACTTCATTGATTTTGTGATATTCATGTCATACTTGACCTAATAGGGTTTTCAAGGTACAGTGGGCCCTCTACTTACAAACTTAATCTGTTCTGGAAGGAAGTTTGTAAGTCGAAAAGTTTGTAAGTCGAATCAGCATTTCCCATAGGAATGCATTGAAAACCATTTAATCTGTTCCGTCTGTTTCTGGTTCTTAAGTCAAGCAGTGGTTTGTAACTCGAATCATTAGTTCCATAGGAACTAATGCAAAGTCAGTTAATCCGTTCCTACCACTAGGGGCAGAATTATTTTCTTTTTTTCCTTTTAACCTAAAAAGGAATGTCAAAAATAAAAAAATTAAAATTTTTTTAAAAAGCCAAAAAACAAAAAACAAAAAGGAAAACAAAAGAATACTGTACTGTACTGTCTGTACAGCACTGTACCAGTACCAGGCAGTACCAGGCAGTCTGAAGACTGTCTATCCACTCTGTAAATGCTGGGAAGAGTGAGGAAGCAGACAACCACCCTCTGCACTGGCCAACAGTTAACTGAAAGTTAAAATTTCGCTCTTTCCCTGCCTCCCTCACCATTTTTTTTATTTGGTTTGTAACTCGAACCACAGGTTCGTAAGTAGGGCCCACTGTTTCTATGGATCGGGTTCATAACTTGGGCAATGTTCGTAAGTAGGGCCTGCTGTTTTCTATGAGATTGGGTTCGTAACTTGAAACATTCGTAACTAGGGCTGTTCGTAAGTAGAGGGCCCACTGTATGTGAGACACTGAAGAGATTCCACCCCTCTCTAGTGAGTCTTCATGAATGAACAGGGATTTGGACCCAGATCTCATGAATTTTCACTCCTCACTCT